GACACATCCTTGAAGGTGTGACGGTCAACGATGCTGAATACCATGGTATGATTCTGGGACTGAAGCTCGCTATGAAGTATGAGGTCAAAAAGCTTGTGGCACTTGGTGATTCCCGAATCGTCGTCCAACAGGTTCAGGGGCTGATTAATTGCAACCAGCCCAACCTGCAACGGCGCTTAGCTGCGTATGAGGATCTCAGGAAGAATTTTGTGTCAGTTAAATTGATTCATGTTAAACGTGAGTTTAACCAAGCGGTCGACTATCTGACCTCTAAGACCCTCGTGCTTGGAGAATCCTGGGAGCTCGATGACCCTGATAAGATAGTGCATCTACGCATCGTGTCCAGCATTCCTAAAAAGATCATGAAGCCTTCGGAAATCCCAGGTACCCCTGTGACCGATGTGGTTGACTCGGATCAAGTCGAACTCGGAATGGATAGTCCTGATGCCGGAATACCTGAGTCTTTAGCTACTGCGACTGAGGTATTGATGGTGATGACGAGGTCACGTGCGGAAGCGGATGCAAGTTCCCGGACTCCTGTAGACCAGTCTGGATATCAAGATGAACGTTGGAGGAGAATCAAGGTTCACCAAGACGAAGACTTGTGGATCCAGCAAATGAAGAAGGTCCTAAAAGGAGACGTGACAAGATGTGACAGACCTTCCTCGGAACCAGGTAATGAAGATGTCGAAGGTATCTGATCAGTTTGTGTTGGACTCGCGAGAAGTTCTCTACAGGCTGAGCAATCCCACCCCTGAAAAACCTCGCAACAAACGGTCGGAACTCAGGCTGGTGGTCCCAGAGACTTTACGTGCTGACATGCTACACTACTCACACGAGGACTTCCAAGGCGGACACCAAGGAATCAACAGGATGTTTGAGCGATTACGTTCGGAGTTCTACTGGATCGGGATGTACGCTGATGTACAGAAGTTCGTGAGAGAGTGTGTGGATTGTGCGTCAGCCAAGGGGCAATCTCGGTCCTTGGCCCATCACCTGACAATATCGAACCGAGATATCCGTTCTAGGTGGTCTCTATGGATTTTGTCACTGAGCTACCTGAGTCCGATCGTGGAAACACATATTTGTTGCTGTTCCAAGACCAATTCTCAGGATATGTCTTGTGTAAACCCATGCGGAATACCGAAGCTCAAGATGTTGCTGAGGCATACGAAGAGTGCGTATTCAGAAGATTTGGGGCGAGTTCAATAATCAGACATGATCAGGACCCCCGGTTCATGAGTAAGGTCTTCGCTATATTCACTGAAAAGCAAGCAACGTGCGACGCTAGGATATCGGCCTCAGGCCAATGGACAGC